AGAGGCCGAGCATCAGGATCTCGTTACGTTGAACCGACTAGACGAAGTGGTGGTAGTTGGACCCGGGAAAAGGACAGTCCAGGTGATGACTGTCACTAGGTCCAGAGGAAGGATTGGATCCAGCCCCCAGATTCTCGAGGAAACATTTGTGAAGGGGATCCGCATTGAGTGGATCCTCAAAGCACAGAACGAAGAAGCGTGGATCTTGGGACTAAAGAAGTATCTGATGGGGGATGTACGAGACCTGAGTCGGGAGGATACTAAATCCTACAGTATTATCGCTACGGATTACGCAGTGGATCTGAACGACTTGCTCTTCTATTGCCCCCCTACGAAGAGAGTCAACGAGGATCGGGATGGATTGATGAGACTGGTGTTGCCGGAAACCTTACAACAGGATGTCCTACATCACTATCACGCTAGTCTAAAAGGTGGACATCAAGGAATTGGTCGGACATACCACGCCTCAAATGAGCTTACCGGTATAGAACTAGTTACCGACGGTTACTCAGATCGTAAGTTTCAATCTTTGGGTATCAACCCAGTAGTTCCAGTAATCGAGGCTCATGCTTCGTTTCATAATTTTATGTGACCCCAAAAGTGAAACGGATGATCTCAGGCTCACAGTTTCATTTCTGACAGTACTTTCCTGGACGAATTTCGCTTTTTTATTGGACAGAAATAAGTAACCGCTGCTAGAGACTGCCTTCTGGGAAAGCCGCACTACTCAAAATGACGCCAACGTGCGACCGTAGGTGGAAAGCCGACGTACGACACGCTTTGCTGTTTCTACATATGCCTACAGCTGTTTTCCCTTGCTGATAAGAAGTAATTCTCAAATTTGAATTGACACTGGAGATTTCATTTCACTTTTCAAACTGCTCCTGACGCTAACACCCTGCCAAGGACAAGGCCTTTTATTAGTGATTATCTGCATGAGATCCTGGTTCACTCGTACTGATAGTGACAGTGAGCATGACCAGAGCCGTCGCCGACTGCTTCAGCCGGAATCAACTACCCCACCTGCAGCACCGCCATCATTCGGAATAATGACAGCCTCTCATCATTTACCAGCCCAGCATCGTAGCGTGGATGCATCACAGGCACACCGGTCCACCCAACAGTCCTCGTTGTTATTTCGCCCTCCTCCCGGGCATGTCGACCAAGGTAAAGACAACTTTCAAGAGCCGGAAAGCACTCCTATACTAGGCTATGCATCTCGAGATCTTAGTTGCCAGTGGAGATGCTTCGTCAGCCCCCCCGCAGTAAACCCAAACCAAACCAGTGTCCCTGTTGCCGTACAAGATGCAATAAAGAGCTTCCAACCATTACCTGGGTTCACATTGGTCCCCCCAAAGGCTGGGGAGCGGTCAATAATTTTTCAGTGGGGCGTTAGAGTGGCAGCCGAGCTCGATGGGAAAGCGTGCACGGGATGGATTTGTCTCGGAAAAAGTGAAAGCTGTCGCGAACACCATCAGATTATACAGCTTTACGGTAAGACGTCGAAAGCTACAAAACATCTAAAAGAAGTTCACTGCATTAAATTCCGATAAAACGGTACTTCAATCAGCACGCAAGCGAACTCGGAACGACGAGGTTGACAGGCTTCGCCAGGCTGTTGTCACAACACATGATGCTGCCCGAGTGTGCCTTCTTCTGGAAACCATGCGCATTGTGTTCAATAACTTACCGTTCAGACTGGGAGAGTACGAAGAGTCGAGATTGCTGAATGAGCTTGTCACTGATGAGCGTTATCGCACGACCATCAACGCCCAAGCGGTGACACACGCAATTGTTGAGCTGTATGCGTCCGCCAAGAGTGAGATGATGAAATTCATCCTCGAAAATATCTTGCCAAACATCAAGTGTCTGACTCTTGTAGTGGACATGTGGTCCTCAAAAACACGAGGAGAAAAATATCTTGGATTGCGGATTTATTTCATCGATAACCAGTGGCGCTTCCGGTCGTTTCTGCTTGGAACACGACACTTTTGCCCTTCGTATGGTGAGCGCAATGGTGGTATTCGTGGGCCATTCAAACGGTGGATAGATCAGATTCTTTTTGATTTTGGCCTTTCAATCAACAGCGTTTGCGGAGGCACGAGTGACGCCGGAGCCGACGTGAAGTGGATGCTAACGGAAGGTTTGAAACTTCAATGGCAATGGTGCATTCCACACATGACGAATGCTGCAACTAAAGCTGCTTGTGGAATCGTTAATGATAAAACTAAGTCGAAGAATAAATCAATGACAGAGCTGATATCGCGAATTGGTAGAACGGTATTAGAGGTGCGTCACGTGGAAGTTATGGGGTCACTATTTGCTGAATTGTGCGAGATGACAGAGAAAGGCAAGTCGCGAACGCTTGTAGAATTCAAGCCACATCGGTTTTTGGGTCTAACTAAAGTTATCCTGAGAATACTAGAGAAGTGGGATCAGCTGGTGGTCTGGTTCGATGAACGTATCGCTAAAGCACTGCGGGCCGGACTTGCACCCCCGGAAGGGTTTCCGCTAGCTACTGATAAGCTGAATTTGATTCAGCTGGTGTGTCTCCTTGAACCTATAACAGTACTCAACAAGAGAGCCCAAAGCGAATCTGCAAACCAAATCCAAGTTTTTCTCACACTGTTCAAGATCCGACAACAAGTACTTGATACATCTGTTGCTCTCATGGATTATCGCACCAAGCATCTTAAACCACCACGTTATTTTGTTGTAGTGGAGTTGACACCTGCTGTAACGAAGACTCGACAACTTCTCGCTGATGCCTTCCATGAACGCTTTTTCTCTCGCTATACAAAACGTACTAAGGTACGAAAGACTTCATATATCTTCGAGACGCAGTTATTACTGCACCCGACGTTGAAGAATCCTGATGGCGTCCTCTCTTCGGTCATTCGCTTGTGCAACCAACAGCTAATAATTGATCCTGCTAATCCGGAAAAACGACTACAAGAGGATGAAGTCTCCCGAATGGTTACTTTCGTAAAAAAAAAACAATTCTAGATCGACTTAAGTATCTAATGATGTCTGCTGTACCCGCTCCAGAAATTGAGAGGACACTAGCGCCGGCTGCGAATGAACCACCTGTAATCTTCTCTGAAGATCTCATGGACTTCTTTGAGCACAACGAAGCAGTCCCTCAGACAGCCTCCAGAGATGTTCAGGAAGCTCGTGTGGAAGAAGAGTTAGAACGATGGATTTCAGAACCTGTTGCAATGAATAGCGACGACAAAAATGGAGCTGAGCACATCCTTACGTTTCGGAGTCGCCAAACGAGCAGCAGCTACCAGTTTCTCCCCACGGTTGCTCGTATAATATTCGCTGTCCCAACATCATCGGCACAGATCGAGAGAGATTTTGGAGTCAGTGGTATGATGGTTACTAGTCAGCGAGCGTCCATCTCAGCAATGAACATTGATATGTGTTCATTTCTTAACTGGAACAGGGAGGTTATCGATGTTACGCAATGCCCTCGACTTTGAGGAGACGAAGATCGAGCTAATATCCCGTCGAATGTGCTGGTGCCATTAGAGGAATATTACAATTATTTGAACATCACAGTTGAGTGGGAAAATGTCATGGCAACTTGCTTTTCCGAGAATATTGAGGTTGAAGACGATTGATTCAGATGTATCTTACATGTTTTTCATTTCTCCAATACACACACACTATTTGCCAATTCGCTATGTAAATGTCTCGTCCATATTTGATACATGCCCAGTAGAAATAATCAATGACGTACTTGCTTGAAGCCTTTGCTATCGGAGACTGGGGCACTACCGTGTCCACGGACTCGCGCTGCACGCGCTCTGAAACGTGCGAAAACTTTGATATTGTTGCCGAGGATGTCGCGTTCAGGCTCATGAACACGCAAGTGGGCAACGCTGACGTTAAACCGAAGGCCATTCTCATCACCTTCCACGTCTAGAGGACAGCTTTCAGCACCAAAGATTACCATGACTCGCGTTTCACTTCCACCTTCGATGGCACGTTCGACGGCGACAAGTTGGCTGGAACTTTCTTCATCAGCGTATGAGTAGCCTCGACTACGGTCATGCCGATTACATTTGCTCGCGTGTGACAGTAGCCAAATACAGCAACTTAAACAAGCTCATCACGGCTCTGGAGAACAAATTGAATTGGCATCAGGTCTACACGAGTCCCAGCGACCACTGGGTGCTCAAGGACCACGTCTACGTCTGCACGACCGAAGCCAAGGACTCCAGCGGCGTCAGCATTGACATCATCAGCTTCGACTCGGGTGATAGCGACGTCCACGCTGCCCAGCAGGTGTGTTGCCCGTGCGGCTACTCGGAGGGCGGCGCCGACTTCTGCGTTGGCGGAGACACTGACTACGACACGTGTATTGCCACGGTTACCCAGATTTGGCAGTCAGGGACTAATCGTTATGACCTGGCTTGGTCAAAATGGGGTTTAAACAAGAGTTTTCGGCTAATCGGCCATTGAAAAAGCCACGGCCATTGGATTATATTATTATAGAGGTTTAAGATGATAATTTATTCTCATCTAATAAGCATCTTGACGCGAACACACTGGCGTTGTGACGTCGGCCTGTGATTTATTATATATATATACATGTATTAGATATGAATAAACGCATCGTACTTAGTGAGTTTGGCACTAAAATCGTGGGTTGAAACGACTTATTTAATTCTTTCGACATTCGTACTACACTTCTTCCTGTACGGACTGACGCTTTACTCGATGTCAAAGACGCACGTTTTGATGATCTTCTCGACGTCGATTATGTCACTCTTGATGAGCATTCGCAGTGTCTTTTGCAAACAGCCAGCCATGACCCCATCAAGATGCGCCCCTTGTATCCAAACGGAGTCGGGGGCTTTTCGTAGCGCCTTGTTACGACATGACTCGACACACATTAGGACTCGGTCAAACACAGCTCTTCCTGTCGCTTCCAACGATCAAGATTGCACACTCGTCTCCGAGTCAGCATACAGCGGGAGAACACCTAGGCTTCACAGGTTGTGCGCTTCTTCATCGCATGAGAACTTGAGTAGAATTGCTGACAATGACTTGATAGACTGCGCACGGACAACAGAAGACGAGTCTGTACCGCGCGCATAAATGTCAAATTGGTCTTTCTTGGATGATGCGTGAACCGTGTCGCCTGCGTGGGCCCTCAGAAGCGCTTCGAGAGCGCGCACCGCAGCTCTTCGAACGAACGTCTTCACGTTCTTCAAACACCCACGGAACAAGTCAGCGAGACGCTGCATCAGTGGCGTTTCCTTGAGGGCTATGTATAGCCCGTCATCGCTCCCGACGCGTACAAAAGACTCTGCAACGATCTCGCAATCGGCTCTGCTCCTTTCATCGGCGATGATTACACATTTGAAGATGCAACATGATGCCGCATCAGCGTTAAGCTTCCGTGGAGGCGGCTCTCGTTACTGCTCCAACTAGCCTTGTTTAAAGGGCTAGTATAAGTATCAAATGCATCGATAGTACTTCTGAGTCGGAAGTTGTGATACATGTCATTGCTGAAACACTACCGCGGATAATGTAGTCGAACGAAATGAACTATTGATGTGATTTGGTCAAGAGCGGAGACGGATCGAGTTAAATGAGTGAGGCGAGATGAATCACTTTCGCAACATGGCTTCTCGTCGTAATGCTGCATACCTTGCTCGAATCCGTAATTCCACACCACGCTGTGCAGCCCTGCGAGCCTCAAGCAAATTTAGTCTGCTTAAAGCTGCTTGATTCAATGATTGTTGTGCTCGGCCATGCCAGCGCGGTGACGATGAATTATTCTCAGCATAGTTAGCTTGCTGAAATTGTGCTACTGACTCTTGGGACTCGCTCATGCCACCCGATAGTTATTGAGTGCCATGTTGCGTGTCAGGTAGTGGTCTTGCTCCTCGTTTTGGTGAATTTACTACTGCATCAGGAATCTCGAGTTGTCTCGTCTCTAATGACATCGGTGCTTGGGTCTCGCTAGCAACTGATACATATTGAGAAGATTCAGTGATAGTTGCAACGGGTGTAATTTGCCATGGATCGTGCCACTTGTCCAAGCCGAGAATGATTGACGTCAGGTGCTCGTTGACTTCTTTTTTTGTCTGTTGCATGGCTCGTTCGATTCTACTTTTAAACAGCTCCTGTTTTGTGTGTAAGCCGGCCGTTTCCACCGCTGCCTTGTCCAGTTTTGCACTTATAGCAGCGAGAGAGTTCTGGTTCTTAGATTCTATATCACGGAGGTGCTGGGCTTGCGCTTCCAAAAGCTTTTGTTGAAGCTGGTCTTGAAGTGAGTCGTTGCGCCGTTCCAAGCTCAACTTTACCAAAGTCTCAACGCGTTGAGGTAACTCGGCCTGGGTACTTTTGAAGCGATTGCCGAAGTCACGAAGTTGCGTGTCTGTTTGTTGTTGCATCTCTCCAATTCGTTGGTCCTGTTTCGATTGAATTCTGCTTTCTATTAAGCGATAGTTCGTTTCGATTCGTTTCTGCGTAGTTTGAAGCTGCAGCTGCAGTTGGTGAGCGATATCAGCGGATTGCTGTCTTGCTTCCGAGCGAAGAGATTGGGTAGCGCTATCGATTTTTTTTTGAAGCCGGGTTTCGATATCGGATATTTGGCTGTCTGTGTATATACGCGCGTTGTTCTCTGTGTCTTCCATACGAGTGTCCACATGGGTAGCATATGCTCTTATATCTGCTTCTATCAAATTATTGGCCTGTGTGAGCCTGTTTTCCAGATCGGCCATTAATGATGTACTTGTCGATGCCTGCTCAAGAAACGTTGTCGCAATTTGAGCTTTCAATTGCTCCGACAACTCTGATATCTGCGATTCTTGTACTATTGTCAGTTGTTTATGACGCTCGTGAGATGCCGTCTCAGCCTTCTCCAACGCAACTTGAAGTGAGTTCTGCAGATGCAGCGTTTCAGCTTTCGCTCTTAAGCAAATCTCTTCATGAGACTGATTTAGCTGCGCTTGTAATTGCTGCTCAATTCTGCTCTCTGAGGCTTCGGTAGCTTGAGCTAGCTGGTGGTCGCTGTAAGCGACCATCTGGTTCATGCGGCCTTCTATGTGTCTTTCGTGCTCGATTGCACGATTTCGGGTCTCTATTAGCGCGTGTTCATAGACTTTTTCTTGATATGCGCCCCCTTCTAAACTTACCATTTCTTTTTGTACAACTACTTGGCGCCTGTGCTGGTTTCCATCGATCTCTTCTTCAATTTTGAGCTGACAGCGCCGTTGCACAGGCTGGCCGGATACATGCAAAGACTCAAGCTCGTCGATCTCCATTATCTCTTGTCCTCTTTCAGCATCTTGCTCTGCATGGGATGTTTGGCGCGACGGGCTGCTGCACGCGTTAGCATCTTATAGCCTATCTCGTGGCTGTATCAAACTTTAAAGACCCTTTGGAGCCAAAGGGTATCCCTTCCATCTAAAGCCGCACGGATTCGGCTTGTAGCTGCCGCACACAACTGACCAATGGTGTCATGAGAAATCGAACCTTTGAAGGTTGCATGAACTGGTTCTGAGCCGACGGTTGAAGTTCTGCTGTCTCAAGTGGGATGGTGTCCGAACCCCCTTCCGGATCCGATAATGATGACATCCGTGTATGCCGACGGCAGTGTTTTTAAATCAAAATCGACCAAATATTGCGGGATCATAACCTTCACCTATCTAAACAAGAGAGTAGCGCATGCTACTGAACTTGTAACATGCGCTCTAGGGATGTTCTGGCCTTGTCGGCAACCTCAGTCGGAACGTAAATCTGCGGCTGCATCGTTTCGAGACATTTGACCAGCTTCTTCAGGTTGTTAACTTTCATATTCGGGCAGACCAAAAATTTGGTTGCAAAGATAAATTCCTTGTCTGGGCTGTCCAGACGCAGCTGATAGCCTGTTCCGTCCTCCGTACCGACAATAAACTGTTTGGCCGAAGAGTTTTTGCAGTAGTCTAGGATCGCTGTTGTGCTTCCGACGAAATCGCCCATCGCGACTACTTCAGGACGGCATTCCGGGTGTACAACAAACTCGGCATCCGGGTATTTTGCTTTCATCTCTACCACATGTTTGACTGTAAGCATGTCATGGGTATTGCAGTAGCCTTCCCAGATGATCATCTTTTTGTCGGTGTGCTGCTGGACGTAATGACCGAGATTTTTATCCGGTACCCAAATGATTTCCTCCGCGTCAAGCGACTGAATGACTTTGACGGCATTGGAGGAGGTGCAGC